CTATCCTTCAGGAATTGTTCATTGCATTTCTGCTGTCTTAATGGCTCTCAGTCACGAGCAACTTGAGTATTTATGTAGAGAAAATCTTCCATTTCTTTAGAGAAGCAAACAAATTTTATTCCATCATTAACTTTTAAGGAAGAAGGAAGAAAAATCAGGTTTCTTAAATTCCAGTACATTTACCTTCGAAAAAAAAATCTAAAGAAAAACAAAAAGCAAATTCTGAACTAGGCAGCACCATTAATCATCTGAAATACTTTGATTTATTTTTATTCCTTCTTTTCTCTTCACTGTCCATAATGCAAAGGGTACCTTCTTCCAAGGAAAATGTTGAAAAAAATCAGCCACTTGTTGTTTGTATCAGATAATCTGGTTGTCACTTTGTGTAGAAAAAAGACCAAAAAATTACACTACAATTACTACCAATACACTGCACTTGTAGCATTTTGTATAGTACTGAATTAAGCTTTCTTTAGTACTCAATTCTAATGAGCTACATAAGGAACAGGTAAGTATGCCATTTTCTAACAATTTACTTAAGTCAGTGCATTCATACAATATTACAGATATACATGCACTATAGTTTAGCCTACAAAAACAATAATTACTTGCTATTCTTAAAAATTACTGCATGCACATTGCAAATTATTAATTCTATAACAAAAGGTTAAAATTATACAATAATTAATTAGGCAGCTAGGAAAATGCAAAGATTTTTAACTGAACATTATAGTTGCCAGGCATAATGATGCATGATTACAATCTCAGTGCTTGGGAGGCAGAGGCAAGAGGACTGCTGCAAGTTCAAGGTCAGCCTGGGCTATATAGTAAGTTCAAGGTCAGCTTGAACTACATAAGAAACTCTGTCTCAAAAGAAAAGAAAATTTTATATATATATAGTCAATATAACTAGTACTTACCAACCAGAAGCTACAAGAGAAAGAAAATTCTTTTTGAGACGAGATTCCAGTTCTTCCAGTGACCAAAATGATAATATCCTTTATCCACTAAGGACTATTTTGGTAGGGTATCCATTATTACTGTTATAAGTTTATAACACTGCTGTTTTATATATTACATATTGGCACAAATAACTTGTCCTTTGTTCCAAATCAGAAATCTTATATATCAGCTGACATTGCATTAGTATAATCCAATGTGATTTATCAGTCCATAATTTATTTTCTGAAATCATCTTTGCCATCTTTATCTTTATTCTATTTCATTCCAATGATAAAAAGCATGAAACATCAACAGCTAAAACCTTCTGCCTCCTCCCATGTGTGCTACATACTATTTGATAGGTACTGTACATTATTTCATTTGTTCTTCACAATAATCCTATGATATACAGAATACTATAATTCCTATCTTACAGATACAGATGCACAGAAGTAACATAACTTGTCCAAGATCACACTGCTAATAAATTACAAAGATGGAATGAAATATACAGAGTCTATTTCTGGACCTTGGTTATTATCACTGCATTCTCTATAATCTAGTATCCCTATATTTAATATGGCTGAAACAAAAATAAAAATTAGCAGAAATGACATACATAAAGTCTTTGGGTAAAATATATAAGTACATTGTCAAGAACAAACAACAAAGTTAAAAAACATGTACAAAACAGTACAATTTTATCCATGCAGACTCTGCCCACATAGTAAAAGGTCTTTTTGTTTGCTTTTGTTTTTATCAGCACTGGAGTTTGAACCCAGGGCCGCATGCATCCTCGGCAAGCACTTTCTTACATGAGAATGGCCCATTTAAACTTGTTTACATATTTTTCATATGTACTATTTTTTGTTTCTTGTTTTGTTTTCTTGAGACAAAGTCTTACACTCTGAACTTCAGCCTTGCCTAGAACTCATTTCGTAACCCAGGCTGGCTTTGAACTTGTGGTATTCTGCTACCTCACTCACCTAAGTAGTGCGGTTACAGGTATGCACCACCATGGCAGGCTTACTTGTACATATATATTTTGGGGGGGGGGTCTTTTTCGTTTTTTATCGGTACCAGGGACTGAACTCACAACTGCCTGCTTGCAAGGCAGGTGTTTATGCCACTGAGCTAAATCCCCAGCCCCTACCTGTACATATTTTTAAAGAATACACAATACAAATAAGCTGAGAGCTTACTTATATAGCTTGATTTAATAAACCTTTATTGATTAATTACTCATTATTATTCATTATGAGACAAATGGATATATAAATGAAAATAAAACATGAATTGTAAATATTATATGCTCACTAATAAGTGAAATGTATCATAATATCAAGGTGAAAATATGTAATAAAGGAATTACCTGAAAAGTAAAAGTGTGCTGTGTTGATAGAATAATTCACTCTACCAAAGAGGTGGGTAGGAAAGAAAATTAAGGCTTTCAGAACTGGGGATATGTTCAGGTCACAGATAAGGAATGAAGCAATAAGACAAAAGGGTGATGAAAGTTACCCTGGACAGAGATCTTAGACAGAAAAGATAGTGCAAAGGCAAAAAAGCATAATCAGCATTGCACAGCAAGGTGACAAACTTCAAGTAGGTGATGTGATTGTGGCATAAAATTTAAGGAAAGACATGGAAGGAGATGAGCTGGTATAATGATTAAATCAAAAAACTCCATTAGAAGTTCTCAGACTCATGAACATGAAACACTAAAATCATAGGAAGGGACCGTACTACCTACTTACTCACTCCTGTGTTTTCAACTTCACAAACAAATATTCAATGAACTAGGTAGGCATTGTGGTGCATACCTGAAATCTCATCACCCTGGGAGGCTAAAGCAGGAAGGTTATAAATTCAAACCCAGGCTGGACAATTTAGTGACTTAATAAGACCCTGTCTCAAAATTTTAAAAAAAGGCTGGGCAAGCAGTTCAATGAGAAGGTTGTGGGCTCAATCCCTGTACTGCTAAATGAATCAATAAATATTTAATGAGTGTTACTTCCCAAACTTTCAAAGTGAACTACCTCCCATTCCCAAATAAAAAGCAAAGTTATAACAACAAAGTAACAACTAAGTATCTAATTTCTTGTGACCAAATACTGTAATGAACCAGAAATTATAAAGCATACCAGGGAAATAAATGTTAGAATCAGAGGAATTAGTTTATTTTTAATTTCTTAGCAGCAAGAAATTAATGAAATGTTATGACAATATTTCATTTTGGTTGAAACAATCTGTAATCATTATAGTTTAGTTCTGCATGAAATATGATAGTTTAATTCAAAATATATAAACAACTGTAAAGAGTAAGTTTTTTTTTTGAGACAAGGTCTGGCCTTGAACTTACTTATGTGCGACCTGAACATATCCCCAGTTCTGAAAGTATGTAACTACATAAGTAAGTTCAAGGTCAGCCTGCTTGAACTTACTTATGTAGCCCAGATTGGCCTCAAACTCATAGTGATTCTCTTTCCTCAGCCTCTTAAGTACTGGGATTACAAAGAGCAGGAAATTTTAGCTAGATTTTATTTCAAACTTTATTTCCCATTTAAAAGTTATTGAGAATCTAGATTTGGAGCTAATATACAAGTCTTACAATATTTTCACTTACAGTGTTATACATTTTGAAACCCTTAACATTCATTATTTTTTAATGAGTTTATTGTGGAGGTACAATTTATGCAATGTAATGAAAGTAACAGAGACAAATTCATGCACAGTAAGAATGAGGGCAACAAGAAGAAATCAACTACTGAACAGAGAAATCAACTATGATCGAGCTATGGAAAGCACAGGACATGCTATCCCATGACTACTCTGTGAAATATGTGCAAGACGCTATATGACACCCAGCACTGAGGAAGTCTACAAAAAGTAACATCCAAGTCTGTATACAGGACTCACTGCATGACTCCATGCAGCTCTCTGCGAAGACCAACACAAAACTGATTTGTAAAAATCATACCCTTTAGAGTAGCACTGGTAACAAAGAGTTCAATAAAACCATAAGAGGCCATTGATTTCACCTAGCTCTTTCACGGGCCCAAAAACCACCTAACACGCAATTTAATAACGCCACTGAGAGTCTGAGAGTGGCAAGAGGTCCTGGAACCCATAAACTAAGTTATAACCAACTAAGTTATAACCGGTTGACTAAGTTTTCTTCCATCCCGTATTTCCATTTTTCTATAAATGCTAACCGATTGTGTTGGTATATGGTTGAACAGAGTTCTCAGAATTAGCTCTGCTTCTGGAAGATCTGAAAATCATTTTTGTTTTGCTTTCATTTTTCTTTATTCAAATCATATGGGATATAAGTGGCCTAAGGAATTTTCCTGTTAATAACATTGAGAGCGGTTCTATGGTGAACTTTGTTGCTGTAATTGTTTGAGATGGGTTCTCACTATGTAGTCCATGCTGGCCTTGAACTCACGATGATTCCCCTGCCTCACTTTCTGAGTGCTGGGGTTACAGGTGAGTGTCATCAAACCGAGCGTCACCACACCTGACTTGATGGACTTCCTTTTGCTATCTGAAATGACAGCTTGACCCACTTCAGGATGACAAACTTGATTCAGAGACAAAAATAAATGTACCACAAAAGAGAGCTCTCAATGTCAGCACAGATACAGGTATGGATTAGGTGTTGCATTAGCACTTGAAGGGCATTAAAATCAAATTGACAGCTAAAGCTTCTATTCCTAGATTAGACTAACTAAATTTCCATTTAGAATACCCAACAAATTCCTGAAAATTCTTAGAATCAACACCAGTGATTTATATCCTACTTCCAACTTGCTCATTTTTAATCTTAGGAAAAATGAGAAAACTGATGATAGCTTCTTTTTTAAAAGCTTAAAATAAATGTACATCAAAAATAGTAAATGTGCAAGACTTAAGTAAAATTGCACCTATCTTCTTAGCCTTCACCATTTGTTCTCACTTTTGTTTTCTTTTTACATCTGAATAATTCTGTACATTATCTTAAATCTTTTCTGAAACAAGGTAATTAAAATTAAACAATTTTAAAAGGAAAACAGTACCTTTATATCAAAATTACAATCAAGTCTTCTAATTAACACGATGAAAGTGCCAGATGAATTGTCTTTTACTGGTGGAGGCATTATGGGTTCACAAGCATTCTCTGGTTTGGAATTAATCAAAAAACCCTGAAAAACAATTGTTAATAAAGTTATTGCTCTGTTTCACTTAATCAATCAGTCAACTTACCTCTGCATATATCTTGGCTTATTATCTGGCAATTATAATTGTTCATAATCACAGAGCTTGTAACATAGAAATTGGTTTCATAAGCATTTATTTCTTTAAAATAAGTTCTGTTTTAACATTAATTTTTTTTAATCATATATAAGACAATCATGCAAAAAAAGCAAACACTACTAACATGGTGATGTGTTTTTCCACAATGACTCACATTCCTATGTCAAGAAAATACTTTTTACATAGTACAGGGGCTAACACAAGACCTTCACACTGAGCTACAGCCCCAATCCTTCTATGTATTTTATATTGAGACAGTCTCACTAAGCCGCTAAATTCCCTAGGCTGGGTTCAAATTTGCCATACTCCTGCCTCAGCCTCCCAGACTTCTGAATTATAGGCTTCTGCCATCATACCTGGCTGCAAAACTTTCTTTAAAGTTAACTTTCCACTTTATTTATCAAAAAAGGAAAATATACATTGTAAGTAAATTGCTATGAATTTACTCTATAGAAAAACTACTTGAGTATATAAAATCACATCTTCAAATATGTTTGCTTATATTTGTTTTCAATAGCAAAAACCAGAAATCACACACATCAATAAATACAACCGTTTTTTAAATTACAGATTATTCATACAACAGAGACAATACAACTATTAATAATGAAATAGATCTATATATAGATCTATATATACTACTTGAAACAATGTCTCTAAGATAATTAAAAATTTTAAAGGAAAACAGCAAGTTGCTTTCCCAGAAATGCAGGTTACTTTGATATCACAGAATGTATTAATGTAGAATTTTGTTAATAGATTAAAACAGAAAGCCAAATGGTTAGCTCAACACGTATAAAAAGAAAACAGCATCAAATTATAAAAGGGATGATCAGCTTCATTAAACTTATTTGTAAGAAGAAATAAAATGAAAGCTACAATATTATACTTTAACAACAGTTCTCCATGGTATTTAAGTTTGTAAAAAAAAATAATTAACAGGATCTGGCAATTTCTCCTGTCTTAAATTGTACTGCATGGCTTGTAATAAGGAAAGCTTTTGTGTACATTTCTGGCGAAAAATGCATCAATACTTCATTTATTTAGGGAAGAGTTCCTCTTCTTGATTATATAAAGTTTTTAGGTTTGGTTTACAGAGAAACACAACTGTGGTAATTTTTCCAACAATGAGTATTTGTTTTACTCCTGTTTATACCTTTTTCTCATTTCTGTGCCTTTCTGTATACAATTTTGTTTTAATGCAAAATCACTAAATTATTTCCAATATGCAATTAAATGCACTAAATTATTTCCAATATGCAATTAAACTCAATCTGTATATCATATCAAGAAGGTAGATAAATCAATTAAAGACAATATGAAACCATGCATGCTATCACAGGATGCCTATAATCCTTAGCTGCTCAGATGGCTGAGGTAGGAGGATTACTTGAGGCCAGGAGTTCAAGGTCAATCTGGACAACATAGTTAAGACCTCATTTCCTCCAAAAAAAGAAACAAACAACTAAATGTACTACAGCAAATTTCCCATAGGGTAATGATAATTCCATTAAGAATGCTACGTAGGGACTTCCGGGAGAACATGGCGGACAGATAACAGCAACTACCAGAGGCTCTCTGAAAGACTCGGCTCAGAAGCCAGGAATGGTGCGGACTAAGGAGACATAAGCAGGTGGAGATATGCTCTGCTGACTCAGGAACGAACTGGGCTGAGAGAAGCCAACTTGGAATGCAGTCCTGGTGCTAAAACAGGAACAGAAAAGACTCGGTGTGGAGGCTGGAACCGCGCCATTGTAAGCTGCGATTTGGGTTTCCCGCCGCGCAGCGGCTGGCTGCCTCTACAGCGGCTCGGCAAGGAGAGAGACGTGCAGAAGCTCTGAGAACGGCAATCTGTGAACGGCAGGGAGGCGTGCACTGACTTGTGGTAAGGTGAGTGAGAGAAACTGACACTCTACCACAGTTTGACTCCAGCAGAGGACTTTCTGGGCCTGAGCAGTCCTGCGGGAGCAGGGCACGGTGGCGACTCCAGCCACACATCCCCCTCTCGGGCGGGATTGGTGAAAAGTGCCTGGCCTGCGTGACGCTGCCGGCGGACCTGGTAGGCTGTCCCAACCCAGATCCCAGAGCCTGACGGTGGCCGGGAGGGGAGACGCCTAGGCTGCCTGGTCCGTAACTCCCTGGTGCGCAGCGGTGAGCGGGAACACCTAACTGGCGCAATTCAATCAGGCTGTGGCTGACTGGGAGAGAAGCTGGGCCTCTTATATAAGCTTGCATATATAAGGAACAGAGAAGAAGAGGCAGCATGGGAAGAGACAGCAACAAGAAAGGCTCCTCGGCCCCCAATTCTGAGAATCAGGCAATAGCAGACACCGCACCAATACACATAAGGCGCCATATAGAGAGCCTCATAGACCAATTCAGGAATGAAGTTATCAACGACCTGAAGCTAGAAGTATGCAGAATAGTTAGAGAAATGCTAAGTACCACCCAAGAAAAAACAGGTGGTGGAATGGAAGAACAGAAAAAAAGGGGAGAATTGTTTGATGGAGAAAACAGAGAAAGCATAGAATACATGAAGCAGGTTCAAAGGGACTACCAAGATACTAAGAAGTCTATCGAAGACTGGCATAACAGCTTGAAAGAAACTAAGGACAGACTATCTGAACTGGAGGGCAGACTTGTAATATGGGAGAATGAAATGAAAAACTTCTTAAAAATAACAAAGAAACAAACAGCAATAATACAAAGACAAGAAGATGATAAGAGGATCCATAACTTAAGGATTAAGAACATAAAAGAAGAAGTAGGGACACAAACAAGTGAACTACAAAAGCTACTCACAGAAATAATCCAGGAGAATTTTCCTAATTTAGCAAAAGGTAAAGATACTCAGATGTATGAGGCATACAGGACCCCAGCTACCTACAACCCAAACAGAGCAACACCCAGGCATATAATAATAAAAATTCCAGAAATTCAATACAAGAACAGAATATTAAAAGCTGTCAGAGACAAGAAACAGACCACTTACAAGGGAACACCCATCAGAATTACAACAGATTTCTCTGCACAAACCATCAAATCACAAAGAGCGTGGGGGGAAATAATTCAAGCTTTGAAAGATAATAATCTCCAGCCAAGATTGAGATATCCTGCACAACTGTCCCTGGAAATTGATGGAAAAACAAGGTGCTTCCAGGATAAAGAGGAACTGGGGGAATTTGCAACCACCAATTCAACTCTACAGAGAGTATTGCAGGATATTCTAAAAAAAGAAAAATACAAAGAATCCAGAAATAATGGCAGAGAGGCCACAACGAATGGAGCAGAGAACAAAATGAAGAAGACAAACTGACAGCTACTGACAGAAAAAGAGCTCAACAGAAATGAGGCAGAGAAGATTGGATGATAGGAACAGCTATTTTGGAGAAAATGACATCTTAATAGGTAATACTGATTTAGTATCATCTTGTTTTGAAGTCTCATCTAGCTTTTGTCCTTCTGTCTCCAATGGTCTAAATAGGCTGTATCTTATTGGTTTTTATTATGTACGATAGTATAAGCAAAAACCTTTTAAAGACAAGGAGATTATACAGAAACCATTGTTCATTTTCTGTTAGTCGATTCTAAATACTCTGTAATGCTGTCATTCTCTTGAATGGTTTTACATTGTTTTGATATACTTAATGCTACAGTATACAAAGTTGTACTCAAGGATTTCAAAGAAAGAGACAATATGGTAACTACTTTTAGGTTAGGATTATCTGGTGGTGAAACACTATTCTGCTTAAATGGTTATATTTTGATCTGCGCTGTTTCGTTGTTATGCCCTCTTTTATCTCAATCTCCACTCCATTATTTACTTTTTTATCTTTATCCTTTTAATTAAAGGAAAAAAAATAGCAGGATATATTATAGTAACCCACTTTGACTTTTCATTACCTTGATTTAAAGCCCTGTATGACTCTCACCATCTGGTTTTTAACTGATGTTCCCCTATTCTGTTTTGCTGGATAGTATCAGGTTCGAAAGTTTAGGCATCAGCTGTGAAGATAATGAGATTCATTATGACGCCCATTCTTGTTAACTTTTATCTACTTTTGAAGACCTACAATGTCTCCAATGTTTTGGTTTTGTGGGTTTTATTCTTTACTGTTTTGTTCAATTGTATTATAACTAACGATATAGGCAATTCTATTAGAGATAGCGGGAGGCATTATGGTAACCATTGTTGATCACCTTGTATTATGTTTTTACATTATCTATTATGTCCACCCTTTTGACTTGACCGATTCTGTTCTGTTATGTCACATTTGGTTTTACTCTCTTCCAAAAAAGTAATAAGAACCGTGGGAGCAATGAAACCCAAAATGTGTAATAATCATGGTACAAAAGAGAGGAAAAGAAAGTGCTCCAAACTATATAACTGCATGTATATTTAAGTGTATAAGATAGAAAATGATATCACAGAGTTTTATTGGATCAATGAACAGAACTGTTTGCAGTATCATTGATGGAATGTCCACTTTACAAGCTTTAATTTTGTGACTTGAACAATTATTTCTAAGATGACAATATGTAATCCATTAACTAGTGATTTCCTACTGTTCATTTTTTTTCTGTAAATCTGTATAACTTGTACCCTTTCCCTGCTTTTTTTTTTTTTCTTTTCTCCTTAAATAAAATTAAAAAAAAAAAAAAGAATGCTACGTAGCTAATGCTGTTAAAAACACATCTCCTGCTGGGCATGGTGTCACATAACTGTAATCCCCGCACTTGAGAAGCTGAGGCAGGAAGACTCCTGTGAGTTCAAGGTCAGCCTAAACTACACAGTAAGATTCTTGCCTCAAAAAACAAAACTCTCAGCAGAGCAGGTCCAGCATGCCCCAGTGGGGCAGGCCCAGTATGGCAGGACACTGTTTCCCAA